GGGGGGGGGGGGGTGAAAACTACTCTCCAGCTCATTCAGACCCTAGGGACATTCAGCTCCGGGAAAGGCAGAGGAAAGCTCTGTCAGGGGGACATTTCTGCAGAGTGAACGGGTCTGCCCACTCCTTGATGGAAGGAGTGAGCCTCCTTTGGGGTCACTGCTTTACAAGGTACTTCGCCCTGTGCAAACTCGGGGACGCCCTGGTGCTGTGCAGCCAGCTTCCCCCTCTAACGTTCCCGAAGTCGCTTATCAACTATACAGGCCTCACTCCGTGGGTCCAACACTGGCCTGGGTGCGACCCAGCCCCAAAGGGCAGGAATGCTGCGTTTACCTCTGTCCAAAGCCACCAGGCAGCAGGTGAAGCATTTTCTCTGGCATGTCTTTCACACACTGTCCTCACTGCCCCCAGGAGGAGAGCGGAACATCTGTTCTGTCCCACGCCGTGTCCCTGCCACGTAAATGCGTGCACAGTACTCACCACACTGAATTCTGCTTTAATCACCTGTCGTCTCTTATTACTAGGACGTGAGTTTCTCAAGGGAAGGCTGCTTATTTTATTTTTCTTATCTGTATTATTTTTTGTTGGTAATCCTTGCCTGAGGATATTTTTTCCATTGATTTTTTTTTTTTTTTATTTTTAGAGAGATTGGGAGGGAGGGGGAAAGAGAAAGAGGGAGAGAAACATCAATGTGAGAGAGACACATAGATTGGTTCCCTCCTGCACTCGCCCCAACCAGGGCCGGGGACTAAACCTGCAACTCTCATATGTGAGAGTTGACTGGGAATCGAACCCGTCACCCTTTGGTGTGGGGGTTGACGCTCTAACGCTGAGCCACGCAGCCAGGGCTGTCTTACCTTTATTTATCAAGCACATGGCAAGATAACAAATGAGAAGCGCTGGTCACAGGAGTGGGAGGTATTAAACTTTCGGGGTGCCCCGCAGCCTTGAGCTATCCCGGCTCAGCACAGGTTTTGACCTCTGGGGTCCTGTATTTTGCGTGGCTCACCCTGAGCTTCCATATTCTTTTCACCAGCAGACTGCCGTCCTCAGGGAGCGCTGGGACTGGCCTTCGACCGTGGCTCAGGAGGGCTCGATGGGGCTGACTCTGGTTTTCAGGAACTAGTCTTTAATGTGCTAGTGAAAGCGGTTTAATCACCAGGCTCTGCCTCCCACAGACCATATATAAGTAGACACCTCCATTATGTGTGGGGTTCTCCACACCCTGGGGAGTGCAAGCTGCCTTGTTGGAAGACAGCAGGTAGTGTACAGAGGCGGGTAAGCCGCAGACATACTTATGCAAATGAAACGATAGTGCGATTTATAAATATAAATGATGAGTGATCAATTTTCTTTGAATAATGATAAAGCAATATAAATGATCAAAAAATGAAAAAGTACAAGTGAACAATATTAGAAATGAGAAAGGGAATTAGTATAAAGTAACGCATAAGAGAGATTTTAAAAATTAAGGAATGTCAGGCACAACTATACAGGAATACATTTGATGATTAAGGTAACTGGACACTTCTTGCAAGGAAGGGGCGGGACAGCAGAGCATAAGAAATAGTCAGAGGCCAAGCCCATGCTTTGAAAAAAGTTGTCCAAGAAGATCCCTATATCCCAAATATCACCTCAAACGGAGTTTACAGTTAATTGCTTTCAAAGTTTCAAAGAATAATGATGCCCTTGTATGCATTTTTCTTTCAATTCAGAGGCAGCCTTGTTGCATAATAGGATTCTTTTCTGATCACACTCACACACACACAATCACTAGACAGTGTTGGTCATTAATATCGCAGTGAGAAAGCGTAAATGAAATTCAGTAGTAAATTAAAAAGATTATTCATTGTTATTGGCAAGAGTTCAGCTGCTTTAATAAAAGAAAAACTTTTAATTATAAGTTGTAGTAGAGTAATTAAAAGTTATATCAATTTCACAAAAAGGGTGTACCTATTTAACTAGAACCTATTTCTAATAAAAATTAAGATCTGAGAGATACCTTCAAAGCTTAACAAAGGAAAACTACTCTGTTCCTAATAGTTGCATAATAGTTCATAGGAAAGTAGGATAAATATGCCCCTCAGATCCAGAACCAAGCAAAGATGTCATTTGGGACCATGTCCTTCATTGTGCACTGGAATCCTTGACATGTTAGCAGGCAATGCAGAGAAAAAAGGGATGTATTTTGGAGGTAAATAAGTATTTATGGACATGCTTCTATATCTAGAAAATAGGAAAAATCAAAAGGAAATTATTAGAGATGATAAAATAAAGTAACTAGATATTTTTAAATGTATTTTATAGTTTTATAAGCACCATATCACGGCATTGTTCATTTTTTTTCATTTATTTCCATATAACAAACCACCTCCAAATTGTTGGCTGAAAACAGCAACGGTTTGTTGAGTCTGGTGCCTGGGTTGGGCAGGCTCTGCCGGGTGGTTCTCCTGCTCCTGGTGGCATCAGCTAGGGTCACTCGTGCAGCTGGAGCTCAGCTGGGACGGAGGCATTAAAGCAACTTCACTCAAATGTCTGTCTGGATGGCGGGTCTGGCTGGTTCCTGTCTCCGACAGCTGCTTGTGCCTCTTCACGTGTGGCTTCAGGAATCAGGAGAGCAAAGGAAACTACATCACTGAAAAGCAGAGAAGCTACATCACTGCTCAAGAGGTAACTTGAACATTGCATCTACCACATGCCATTCGACAAAGCAGGTCACAAGGCTGCCCGGATTCTGGGGGTGGCATGTGCCCTCAGCCATCTCTCAAGACGGCCTTCCGCCTGAACAGTGGTGAAGGTCACCTTAGGTACATCAGCAAGATCAAAGTATGAATTCTTGGGGAACTGAGCCATCAAAGGAACAAGTTCTTCAGTAGCTGAGAAGTCCTGACGTATGTAAGGATAGGCTTGGCTAGAAAGCTTAGTGAAGATGACAGTCCTTCCTGAATTAATTCATAGATTTAGTACAGTTTCAGTCAGATTTCTAAAGGATACGTTAAAGAACTTAATCGCATCCATTGGGAAAATAGATGAACAGTGTTCAACAAACATGTCTATTATAAATCAATAATAATTAAAACAGCATAGTAATGACTCAGAAACGTAAGTAAGCCTTTTTGCAGAAAAATGAAGAGCCCAGACCGAAATGTGAATATACTTAGGAGCTCAGTGGGATGCAATGTGTGTCCCCTACTTGGATTCAGGACTTGGAAGAGTCAGTCCCAGAGAAAGCAAAGACGGGGAGATTACCATTTTGGATTCCTGGTAACGCTTTAATTACGGAGTAATGAGAGAACGCACAAAGTGTTACATGACCAAGTAAAAGTGTTTAAACATTTAGATTTCTCATGAGCCTGAAAAAGAACATTAAAATGAGAAGGGAAATGTGGGAGTATGTGGAAAGATTTGTAATAAGTGCGAGGGGTAAAACCGGACGGTCGCAAGTGAATGGAGGAACTTAACCAGCAAAAAGCACCGGACTCCTGACAGACCCGCGGTGGAGGCACGTGGATGACAGTTCACAAAAGAAGAACCGCACCGTAGATCAGTCCGTGAAAAACGCTCAGCCGCACACGTAAGCTTCACACTAATGAGCTCCCAGCTCACACCTTTTGAATATGAAAGATGATTCAGCGGCTCTGGGAAGCTACAAAGAACACGCAGCTGGTATCATTATAAAGACCATACAGTGATTCATGTTTTTGTTCAAGTTCTGTGACAGTGTGTGGCTAGAGCCAAAAACTGTACCCACCCTTTGACTGGAAACCTAAGTAATTCCTGGAAACTTGCTTACTGGAAATTATGCAAAAGAAGAAAAAAAAACTGCCATTAGAGAAATACTATGCGGCATTATTAAAATGTAATGAATAAGTGGATAGACAACCAAACTAATGTCAGAGGTTAAGAGCCCTTCCGGGGTGAGGGAGAAGGTGAGCCCCGTGCACCTTGGTCTCCCCGTGGGCCCTGAGCCTCCTGCCCCCTGCCTCCGGCCTCCTGCCTCCGGCAGCAGGAGGATTAGCCGAGTCAGTCCAGGTCTGGTTTAACGCCTGCAGTTCTTTGGTGGGGCTGAGATGTGACCCTTTGAGCATCAGAACTAAATAAAACGGACAGTCCGTGTACTACAGGACAATCGCCACTGTCACCTTCACAGAGCTCATTCCTTTTCGTCAGGTAGGCTGATATAAGGTGCGGGTGTCCCGAGTAATATGCGCACTAGGCGCCACCCGCAAGTGTGGTCAGGGGAACGCGCCCAGCCGGGACACAGGCCGCAGGGCCCACCGTGGAGCAGGGGAGGGAGTGGAGGGTTAAAGCGGTCCTCACTTCCATCAGAAATAGGCAGCCGGTGTGCTCCTGAGCGTTTGTGGAAGGGGTGATTTTGTTTGGAATGAAAACAGGCTTAAAAGGTGAAATTACAAACGTGATCGGAGACCAGGTCTCGGGTCCCGCGGGCACGGGAGGCCTGCCCTCTGCTCTGTGTCAGCCCCCTCCCCGCCCTGGCATCAGCCCTCCGCCCTGGCATCAGCTCTCCGCCCGTGGTGGGCCAGCGCCACCCCCCACAGGTGTGTGGGTATGCGTGTCCCAGATGCGTGCACTCAGCATTCGTCGGGAGCCAATATTCCACGTAAGTGTTATTTTCTGAGAAAGTAGACGTTTATGCTTTTAATTTATTATGTTCTGCTTGCCCTTGGTGTCTTAGAGCATAGTAAGCATGAATTTATGTGGTGAGAACTTTCCCATTTCTGAAGCTTCAGCTTAAGGTTGATAAAGTTGTTAAAGTTACTGATATTTACTTACTGATATAGTCACCGTGTAAGTGTGGGCAAGCATAAAAATGTGACACACTGTAGATCTCCAGCAGTAATTAGTTTAAAAATAGAGAAGGAGCCCGGCAGGAGTGGCTCAGCGGTTGAGTGTCGTCCTGAGCACCAGAAGGTTGCCGGTTTGCTTCCCAGCCAGGATACATGCCTGGGTTCCGGGGGAACCGATCGATGTTTCTCTCTCACTTCAATGTTTCTCTCTCTCCCTCTCCCTCCCTCTCTCTCAAGTCAAAAAATATATATTTTTAAAAAATAGAAAAGGAAAGAAAAACGAGATGCCTACATAGATGAAAAATGCAAAATTAATACAGTAAATTGACTTAAATTATCTCAAAAGAAAGTTGTTTCAATGGCTGTGTTGAATGAGCTAATTCCAGAGCTTGCCTTGTCTGTCACTCAGAGGCACGTTCTAGGCCGTTCTCCTACGACCATGGACGGCTGCAGAAGGCCTCAGCCACGGCACTTTCTGTTCAGAGTGCAGTGTGGCCTTTGTGTTCTTTCCTGGTGGGCAGTCAGTCAGTTTTCTACAATTTGATAAAGTGTCAGAATCAGAACCTTCAATTTCCCAAAGGCATTTAAAAGCCCAGCTTTTCTTTAATTTATAGCTGTGGCAAAGACATGTCAGAACCACTTTCTTTGTGAGATGGGTTTAGTTTAATGGAGCCTCATGCTGGCATGTCCTGTGTGGCAGGAGTACTGTGCTCCCATCCACACGTGGGGCAGACGGTTGCTCGGAGAGCCCGTGCGGTGGGTCCAGGCCCAGCCTTACGGTGCTCCCTCTCCGACGGTGCCCTGCAGCCCTGGGGTGGTGGGAGCACCGGTCCTCTGGGTCCAGGCCCGGCCTCACGGTGCTCCCTCTCCGACGGTGCCCTGCAGCCCTGGGGTGGTGGGAGCACCGGTCCCCTGGTCCAGGCCCGGCCTCACGGTGCTCCCTCTCCGACGGTGCCCTGCAGCCCTGGGGTGGTGGGAACACTGGTCCCCTGGTCCAGGCCCGGCCTCACGGTGCTCTCTCTCCGACAGTGCCCTGCAGCCCTGGGGTGGTGGGAGCACCGGTCCCCTGGTCCAGGCCCGGCCTCACGGTGCTCTCTCTCCAACAGTGCCTTGCAGCACTGGGGTGGTGGGAGCACTGGTCCCCTGGTCCAAGCCCGGCCTCACGGTGCTCTCTCCCCAACAGTGCCCCAGAGTCCATCNTGGTCCCCTGGGTCCAGGCCCGGCCTCACGGTGCTCTCTCTCCGACAGTGCCTTGCAGCACTGGGGTGGTGGGAGCACTGGTCCCCTGGTCCAAGCCCGGCCTCACAGTGCTCTCTCCCCAACAGTGCCCCAGAGTCCATCTGGGTCGTGGGAAAAAATTTTCAGGCAGCTGCTTTACCACCTCAGCTCTAAATGATGGGGAATTGCCTGTTGACTGCGCATCCTTCTGTAGTGCTAAATGTACTCAAATAAGAAGCTGACATTAAAACAGGTTTTTTTAAAAATTCCTTAAAAGGATTGATTGTTTCCCATGTGCGCCATGCCTGCCTTCCGCCAGGAAAGAATGGGAGCGTGTATGTGGAGCGTGGGTGGTTGTCTCTTTGCTGTGCTCACTGTTTGCGTGACTCCACCCACCCACGCCTCTCTCTTCTTACAGTTTCGTCTGCCATTTGGTTCCATGTCGGTAATTACTTAAGTTACTGAATAGTCAATGTCGCAGAAATAGGCTGTGGGAGTTACAGCTTCTGCGGGAAGCTGCTGCTAAGACGAGCGATTTTACAGAGCCCTTTAGTGCCTGTTCCCAGTCAAGTCACATTCTGTTTGCATTTCAACCTCCCAAGCTTTTCACACCCAAAGTGAAATCCTCTTTGTGAAATTACATCACTGGCAAAACTCCGTGTTTGGCTTCTTGCCTGCTGACCAGTGGGACTCTGCGTCTCCCCAAGGGATGTCTGAATGGCTGCCAGTAGCAGGTTCTGTTTATGTCAAATATGTGGATATTTTATAAATTAAGGTAAAAGTAGATCGCGTAAGCCAAGACACTTCTGTTCAGGTACTTAGACGGGGTCATCAGGCTCAAATATATCAGAAGGACAGAAGCTAAGTGAACTGTCACTGGGCTGCATACAGTACGGACCAGTTGATGGAACTCTTTTTAAAAATGAGAACACTCTTTATCTTCTTTTGACATTTCTTTTTTTCCCCAGTAGTTAAATTCACTGTGGAATGAAACTTGTATCTGCCGTTGATTTTTTTTGTTGAAGTGTAAGGTGTTGCCAAGTGTGGGGCCATGGCAGAGCAGAGGGTTGCCTTGGCCTCCTGGCAGCCAGACCCTGCCCAACCCTCCCCAGAGCTGCTCACCCCCAGCCAGGAGCCCACGCTTCCTGCCCCTGCAGAAGTAGGCAGTGCCCAAGTTACGCCGTTAATCTTAATTCAATTACAGATTATTTCGCCTTGTGCCAAAACCCATCTGGGAACATGGTTGCCCAGGGATGTCTAGTTGCAGGCTGTCTGTCACCATGTGAAGTGAGGGGACACCCTTAAAGCCTGTGGCAGTGTTAGCTGAAGGACGCCTGCGTGCCTGTGCCAGGTGTGACATGGGAAAGCGGTGTGACCTGTGCAGTCCATCACCGCTCTCCGCGCAGCGCCCGGGAGCCCGCCCTCTGCTGCGCTTCCAGCCGGTGCCGTTGCAGCCCTGGCCCCCGCCGGTGCTCCTGGCAGCCTCCGCCATCGCCGTCCTTCCCAATCAACGGGAAGTGCGCGACCCCCGTACACCACACGAGCAGGCAGCCTCATTAGAAACGCGCCCAGCAGCCAGAGGAGACGGTGGGATAAATTAAGGACAGAGCCCCCCCGACAGGGGCCTCAGTGCAGTTTCTCGGCCATTAATCAAATCCTGTGAAAAAGACGCCGCCGTGATGATACACCTGTCGTGGCCCTCGAGTCCAGCTGTCGGGGCACCGCCTGCTCAGCACCAAGGACAGAGCCCCGGGGGGGGGGCATGAACGGCCCTCCCTCTCACCCCCACCTGGCGGAGAAGCGGGGCTTTTTCTGCGTGCCAGTCGGCGTTTCTGGACCCGTGTTCCGCCCCCAGAGCTGGGCCAGCCTGGTGCCAGTTTAGAAGGCTGTTGTATTCCCCTTCCTGCCCAGCGCTCCCATCATTGACTGTGACGTTTCTGGTGCCAAGAGCAGAAGTGGCCCTGTGCTCAAATAAGACAGGTGGTCACACTGGTCATGCTTAGTTCTGTGCCCCTCAGGTCTTCCCGTGTGGGTTTCTAGTGATTACGTAGCTGATCTGTCATCACCACTGCCGTACGTTCATGGGGCGGGTTAGTTAAGCAAACCCACGACGGCCACGGAGCCTGACGGGTGTTGGTGCCCCGCTCATCTTCGTTGCGCCCGGAGCCGTGCGTCCAGCTGGTTCCGCGACGTGGAGCAGATAACCTGACCACGTCGGTGGCACTGCATGATGCTGGCTCTCGGGCTACTTCTGGTGCAGCAGAACATGTACACATGCCATAGGCGTGTACGCACATGCACACGCGCACACACAGGTGCACACAGCTGTATTTCACACAGCCCCGTTGAGCCTGATGTGGGCCCAAGGCTCTCAGGTGCCCAGAGACATTCCTGTTCACGGGAAAATTCTGGATCTTATTTCAGGTCTTGACTCAGATGAGGAACTCGCGCTGCTCTATCACCACGCATCCTATCTAGGTGACTGTCGGGCTGGCCGCGGGCGCTTGGTAGTCTGTAACCTTTCCTTTCGGTTTCCTGTGTCTGCACGTCTGCATGGTTCAAGCTCGAGGGTTGGGCCGCCCGGGGGTGATGTGTCCTGGCCGCTGCGTCTCAGGGTGCTCTCTGGGTTTGGGGCTCGAGGAGAGGTTGTCTCCTGGGCCCTGTGCATCAGCCCAGTCACCGTCCAGCACCGTTTTCCACGTGCCACCAGCTGCTTTGGCATCTGTTGGGGCGTGGAGGGCAGAAAGCACGTTGGCTCGGCAAGCCCGGTGGCCGCTGGTCATCTGGCTGTGATATGCATGAGCCGTGACGCCAGCGACAGCCAATTGCAGTGCTTTCTGGTTGTCGGCAGCCTGCCTGAGTTTGCTTTTCTTTGTTTTGTTAACTGATTTGATGGTGAGGGGAGGTTGTATTTAATTACTAAATTTGCTTCCACAAATAACTACCACCTGGAAACTGTTCCTAAGCCTCCCTTCTGTCTGTCTCCCCCAGACCAGAGAGTGGCTTCCTTCTGCACCCTGACGGACATGCAGCACCCACAGGGCCTGGAAGGGGGCCCGGAACTGCCTCTGTGTGTCGATCCAGCCAGCGGCAAGGAGTTCATGGACACAGCTGGGTACGTGGGCCTGTGGGTCCCGCCTTCCGAGCCCAGTGATTTCATGGGCAGCAGGAAACCACTGCCCCGGTGCCTCCCCTGATCCTTCAGAGCCCAGAGAAGGGGCGGGGTGGGACTGGCTGGCCCTGCGCTGCTCCGTGGGCGGGGCCTGTCCACCAGGGTGTGCATCCCTTGCCCACGGTGAGGCTCCCCTACAGAGAGGGTGGGTGTGGGCCTCGGGCAGGCTTCTGCCACCTAGTTACTGTGACAGCGCCAGACGGACACCTCCCTGACGAGCCCCCACCTGCCAGGCTGAGCGTGCTGACTTGCCAGGGACATACTTCCTCCCAGACTCTTCTTGCCCCAGCCTCACACCTTACACTAAAGTGTCAAGAATGAATCATCTCCTCCCCGAGTGCTTGATGTGCTTATTGCCCCTGGACTCTATTCTTTACCTGTGTCGTCCACTCCTAATTCCAACTTTATATGCACTTGGGTCACGATTAACTTGCACCTTCATCTTGGTCGTGACGAAGGGAGATGGGGAAACTGAGTCTGCGTTTGGTTCCCAGGACTTCCTTCAGGTCTGCACAGTCTCTGCTACATTCACTGAGATGATCTGTCTTTTGTTTTCTTACCAACATAAATTCCTAGAGATTCTGAAACCCATTCAGGTAGTAGAGATGGGGAGAGGGGAGCTTTCCGCCCCGAGCAGCGATACGTCCACTCTCCAGATCTGATGCAGTGTCATTTATGTCCTTATATCATTTCTGGGCTTCGCGCAAGTGAGATGACTTTAGAGGGAGCTTTATGGACAGAAATGCTGAGTGAGTGCCTGGACTTCGGTGCTGGGTCTCACTCTGTCCTGCTTTGCCAGGGAGCGGACCCCGTCGACGCTGACTGGCAAAGTCAACCAGCTGGAGCTGATTCTGCGGCAGCTGCAGACCGACCTTCGCAAGGTAAGGCCATCAATTCATCACAAGTCCGTAATCAGAACTCTTTCCCGTACACAACCACCCCTCTCACTGCTAATAAAGATGAGGGACTCGGGGAAGATGGCACCGTCATCTGAACTCAGCAGTCGTGGAAGCAGAGACTCCTGGGCTCTCCTGTTCTCTGGTTTACAGCTAATGCATGTTAACAGGGGGACAGGAGAACTGCAGTGGGCGGGACTGAGTGAGGGTGAGCCCTCTGGGCCGCCAGACTCGGAGCAGACACGCAGCGGGCTAGAAGGTTTCTGCTCAGTAAGTTAGTCGCACCCACTACTGTGAGCTGAGCTAAGAGGAGTTCTTGTGGCCAGAAAGCCTGGTCTCCCCAACACCACTGTCCACACAGCCTGCGGCGGTGGCTGCTGATTTAGTGGTCCAGTTAGACTGCATTAAAAAAACACACCCAGCTCTTATCATCTGACAGGCACGTCTCTCTGTTTGGGGCAAGACACCCCTTTCTGTATTTGGACGCTGAAACTTGCATTGTGCGTTTTTGTCACTGCATTGGAAACTCCAGGTGTGATTCTCCTGAAAACCCTCAGTCGTTCCCACATAGTTTTTAATCGCAGCCTCTGAGGTCGCTCTGGGAAGGTACTTAACGGGAAAGCTGGAGGGAAGGGCCTGAGTGCTTGCTTGATTGTAAAGCTGTCTGGGACCAGCAGCTGCGTTGCTGCCAGCCTTGGTGCAGTGAGCAAGCGCACTCAGCTGAGCACCCGTCCAGGGGCATTGCTGGGACCCCTAACTGGCCTCCCCGGGTAGCGGGGAGTATAAACTGTGAGCTGCCCTGACTCCAGTTGGGAGCAGAGTGGGAGGAGCAGCAGGATGTGTTCACCCATCCCCTTCATTTGGGGCAAAAATAGGAGCAGGCAAGTCACCCCTGAGGAGCTCAAACCCCGTCTCCCCTCAGAAAGCAAGTAACTGAGTGAAAAGCAAGGGGCAGGACCCTGGTGCTGCAGCTCCGGAGAGCGCGGACGTGCGGTAACAGTGGCGTGACGCGTTCCCTCTCCCACAGGAGAAGCAGGACAAGGCCGTGCTGCAGGCGGAGGTGCGGCACCTGCGCCAGGACAACAGGAGGCTGCAGGAGGAGTCCCAGACGGCCACCGCCCAGCTGCGCAAGTTCACAGAGTGGTTCTTCAGCACCATTGACAAAAAGTCGTAGCCAGTCCATCCCCGTCAGGGGCCGCTGGGCAATGCCTAGGGCCCCTGGACGTCGCAGACGTGGTGTGTTAGCCCTGCTTTCTACCAGCCGTGACGTCTCCACTGTCTGCCCCGTCCGGTCCCACGCACCCAGCAGGAGGGGACCACACTTTCTCCGTGGCCATCGTGAGCGGGGACACCAGCGTGAAGATGAATGTACCCCCGTGTCGAGATGAATGTAACCCTGGTGTCAGTTGAGAACTTTTCTTTTAGACGCTACTGAGCAGTGGTCTGGCGTGAAGGGTGTTATTTCCTATGTATCAGGTGACCTGCTAGAGATGGTAAAGAATCTGCCATAGTTTGGGCTTTAGTATTGTAAAATAAACACGAAACAAATAATCAGACATATACTTTAATGTAAAGGTGCTCTATTTTTTTGGATGTACAGTAGTTTTCTCTCCGCAGCCACGTTATCATAGCAATAAGACGGGCCTACGTGAGGAGGCTCGGAGGAGCCGCGTCGGGAAGGTAACGCCCTGGCGGGTCTGATGCTTAGCTCTAGTTCCATGCAGTTACTTAGAGGCTTATTTATTTGCAGGAGCAAACGGTGCCTGGATGTTAACAGTGTTCTGGTTTTTTAGAAAAAGATCCTTATGCCTTGTAAATGGCTCGCCCGTAGTCACTCGGTCCCAGCTCACTTTTGTATAGTTAAGGCTGATAGAGACGAGACTAAGGAACCTGCGCACTTGCTGAGCCGCGTGTGCTGCGCCAGCAGCCACGTGGACAGCGCCAAACTATCTTTGTACAGAGGCTTTGAAGAAGTGTCCTGTATTTAACACCCCTATTTAAGCTTATTTAACCCTAAATTGTTAATTTTATAAACACGGTGTGGCCTGCACCCTGACGAGGGCGGTGTGGGTGGCAGCGAGCTCGGGAGACTGGGCTTGCCGGGCTGGACGGCGACGCGGGGCCGAGTCTAACACCTGGATGCTGCTAGACACGTTCTTTGTATGGCTTTACCATTTTTAACTGTTCCTTTTGAGATGAACGTACATTTTGCTTTTTTAATAAATGTCTAAAAGAGTCCACATAAGTAACGGTGTTGTCAGGTGGATGTCGATTTTGTGATCCAATACGTCGACGACGCGAGTGGGTGTGAATTTATTTTGGGTCATTTGGGATCTTCGTTGAAGACTGCGCGGCCGCCTGCACAATCCCAAACTGACTTAAGGTAGATCGTGGCTGGTACTTGTTAGTAGCTGCTCCCGGTACTGTTCCCTGCACCTCCATCCATCTCGTTCAATCCTAGCAGTGTCCTTATGAGGTAGTGTGGGAGACCCACTTTACAGCTTGGTAAACTGAGGCTCAGGGTGAGTGATCTAGGCAACCTAATATGGTTGCCTTTCGATTTATAGTTAGAATCTTATTCAACGAAGAGTTTGGTGTCACTTACAAGAAAATACATACAATAAAATTTTAGGGATTTGAAAAATCACCAGGAAAGATAAAGCGTAACTTTGAATCAAATGTAAGACGGGAGTCGTGGGGCTCGGGCCACCATGGGAAGGGAACCAGGACAAGGTGCAGAGTTCATGTCAAGAATTCGAGAAATCAAAGTGATTCCTAGAGTTTACACTAGAAGGGATTCCTCGCGCGGGCTCCCCACGAGAGGGGTGCTGAAAAATACCCGAACGTTCCCACAGGAGGCGCAGCATGAGGCTTCACAAGGTGCCCTCGGGGAAATCCAGGCGCACCCCCTAAATGCACGCAGTGAATGCGGTTTCTCAGGGAGCAGGGCGGATTGGGCCGGTGGCTCTCTCCCTCCCCTCCCCTTCTTGTCACTGTCTGCCAGGCCTGCGCTCAGAGCAGAAGAGCCACCGGTGACGAAGACCAGCCGGGCCTGGCTTCATGGGGCCCACAGTCTAAGGTGGGGCGACAGGCAGGTTATGTCAGTATGTGAAAGACAAACGCAGGGCCCGGGATAGGCTCCCTCACATAGTTACATAACAGTGACAGTGTCCAGTAGTCACTACGTGCTGGGGCCTGTTCTGAGCCTGCTGATACCTACGGAGCACCCCCGGGGGACAGCTGCTGTGCTCGTTCCCTCGGAGGATGGTAACTGAGGCGAGACCGTGCTCGGGAGACCTCTGAGGGCCAGAGACCTGACCTGGGGAAAGAGCGGCCCTGGGCAGCTGGGGAAGGATGTCCCAGGCAGAAGCGCCTGGAGGGCAGAGCCCGAGGCTGTAGAAAGGCAGTTTGTCTGGTGATGGGGCAAGTGGCGTCGGGAGATGGTTGGAAGAGACAGGTAATAGCCAGGTCATGAGAGACCCCAGGCCGCGGTGCGGTCTGGATTTCATTTAAAGTCAAAGAGAAGCTGCTAAAGCAGGGAGGCTGTGTGATCTGACCAGCCGGTGTGGCTCAGCGGCTGAGCATCGACCTAGGATCCAGGCGATTGGGGTTCGTTTCCCAGTCAGGGCACATGGCTGGGTTGCGGGCTGTGTCCCCAGCGGGGGGCATGCAGGAGGCGGCCCATCAGTGACTCTCATCATTGATGTTTCTCTCCCTCTCCCTTCCTGTCTCTGAAATCAATAAAAAATATACATTTAAAATTTTTTTTAATTAAAGGACTGTTCTGACTCAGAAGGAGAAACAGTCAGAGAGGCCCGGCGTCTGCAAACTCCTCTATAGAGGGCGCAGTAAATGTTTTAGGCTTTGGCCTCACGTATTGTCCCTGCTGCGTATTTTTAAATTCTGATTTACTACCTTTAAGCCTGGAAGAGCCATTCTTGGCTCGCGGGCCACCCACCAGCATTGCTGACCACCCCCCAATATAAAAGTAGAAACGGAAGACAGTCCACTTAAGTGATTTGCCCTGAAATGTAAAATTGAACCAACCTTGGCTTCCCCGGTTATTACTGTTTCATCGTCTGTATGAAGAGAATTCCCTCCAGGGACAGTGATTTCCAAAGGTGAGATTGTGTTTAAAATTATCCAGTAACGTAGCCATGGATGGAAAGATGTCTGCAAGGGTCCTACCTTCATTTGCCCCAAGAACCAACATGAACTTGGTTCTGCCCTCTAGATACGTTATATTAATGGATGTGAGCACTGAACTCACAGATGCACATTTTATTTACGAAGTATTTGCCCATATATATGACCATGTTCGATATTCTTGCTTGAAAATTTTGACTTACGCGGCCCTCCTGCAATACCCTTGGCTCCTGTGGACAGCTGTCGCCTTCGGTCGTCTCTGAGCCGTCACCTTGCCCGGCCTTGCTCCCGCCCGGGTGCGCCTTATGGTGGCGTGTGCAGGCTTTACGAATGAAAACGACTGAGACGGGACAAGTGCTGGTGAGGACTCGAAGAAATCGGAGCTCTCGTGCGTTGTCGATGGGAATATAAAATGGTGCGGCCAGTGTGGAAAACAGTAAATGGCAGGTCCTCAAAGAAATTAAACATGGAATTACCATATGACCCAGCAGTTCCATGTCTGGTCTTTTCCCAAAATAATTGAAATCAGGGTCTCCTATTTGTACACCTGCGTGCACAGCAGCGTGATTCACAGTAGCCAGAAGGGGGAAGCGGCCCAGGTGACCACGGATGGATGAACAGATGGACAAAATGGGTCTATCCATGCCTTGGAATTTATGCAGCCTTAAAAGCGAAGAGACGCGGCCTACAACATCGGTGAGACCTGAGGACTCCGTTCTGGGTGAAGTAAGCCCATCACAAAAGGGAAAATACTGCGTGGTTCCTTTCACACCTGGTCCCCAGAGTTGCCAAGTTCATGGAGACAGGACCGTCGTTGCCAAGGGCTGGGGTGGGGTGAGGGATGAGCGGCGGCTGTACTTCGGGAAGATGAAACGGCTCTGTGGTCGGTGATGCCGATGGTTGCTCACGTTTGGATGTACTTAGTGCCACAGAGCTATGCACTTAAAGTCGGGTACGATATTTTATATGTATTTCACCACAGTTGAAAATGAATACTTTTTTTAAAAGCGTAGGGATGGGGACCTGAATGAGTGAGCTTGTGGGGACCGGATCAGCACAGAGAAGCCTGGAAGCTTAATCTCGCCAAAAAGAGACGCGTTGGAACAAGTACAGGAAAATATCAAACGTGCCGAAGTGCCT